GTTCATGAACAAGAACCCGCCGGTCAGGTGAGGAGGTGGTGGGAGAAGGGATGGGGACGGGACAGCAACCGGGACGGAGCAGCGGCCAACGTGTCCCATCCCGGGGCTCACACCCTCCTGCCCCGGCCCCAGGCGCACGCTGGCCGACATCATCATGGAGAAGATCACGGAGAAGCAGACGGAGGTGGAGACGGCGCTGTCGGAGATATCAGGCTGCCCCATGCCCCAGCTCGATCCCCGCGTCCTGGAGGTCTACAAGGGTGTCAGAGAGGTAAAGCCAAAGCTGCTCAGCCTTGGGGTCCAGCAAACACCCTGCTGAGCCCCACAGCTGCCACCTCAGCTGTCCCTCGGAGGGGCTGTCCCCATCCTCACTCTACACAGGCCGTTCTGTGTTACCTGCACTTGGTGTAGTGTCGGTCACTGAAGAGCCCAGAGAGTTTCTGAGTGACAATCTCCTGAGCACCATGCTCGGTATGAGCCTGGGATGGTCCTTGCTTAAAACCTGGGACAGTCCTTTCTCACCAGAGATGCTAAGGGAGGGGACAGCTTTCTCATGGTCATGAGATAAGTCCCACAGCCCTGCTGTCACTGCTCCTGTATCACTCACCTGTATCCATATTTTTTAAGGTGCTGTCCAAATACAGGAGTGGGAAACTCCCCAAGGCATTTAAAATCATTCCTGCCTTGTCCAACTGGGAGCAGATTCTTTACATCACAGAGCCAGAGACATGGACAGCAGCTGCCATGTACCAGGCCACCAGGTAAGAGCATCTCAGGGAGATGCTGATGTGGGATTTTTCAGCTTTTTCTTTCTATGAAATACCAACCTGTCCACTTTGTGCTTTGCTTTTTCCCCCAGGATATTTTCATCCAACCTGAAAGAGAGGATGGCCCAGCGGTTCTACAACCTGGTGCTGCTACCACGGGTCAGGGATGACATCGCTGAGTACAAGCGCCTCAATTTTCACCTCTACATGGCTTTGAAGAAGGCTCTGTTCAAGCCAGCAGCCTGGTTCAAAGGTAGGGACTCCCTGCAGGGCTGTGCTTCCTACCTGGGAGCCTCCTGCCACGTGTTGTGTGCTGCTGCCCAGTGTGACAGGACACTGGCCCTTGTGTGATGTGGCCCTGGGGGCTTGGTGGGGAGGAAAAGACCTGAAAGTCTCTGATGCAGGGAGCTCCCCTGCGTGGACACAGTGGCTTCCAAACCCACAGGGGCCTGTTTTCAGTGTTCAGGGTGGAAAGGCGAGGCTTGAGCAGGTGCTGCCAGCAGGTGCTTGCAGGTATTTGGGTTCTTTTGGAGGTTGATGGCAGATTATGAACTGTCTCAGGTCTGATCTCGGTCTTGTGTCCAGTTCTGGAGTCCCCAACACAAGACATGGACCTGTTAGAACAAGTCCAGAGGAGGCCACGAGGATGATGCAAGGGCTGGAGCAGCTCTGCTGTGAGGACAGGCTGAGAGAGTTTGGGCTGTTCAGCCTGGAGAAGAGAAGGCTCCGAGGAGACCTTCTAGCAGCCTCCCAGTACCTGAAGGGGCTACAAGAAAGCTGGGGAGAGACTTTTTACAAAGGCACGTAGTGACAGAACAAGGGGCAATGGCTTTAAGCTGGAAGAGGGGAGATGGAGATGAGATATGAGGAAGAAATTCTTTGGTATGAGGGTGGTGAGACAGTGTCCCAGGCTGCTCCTCCCTGGAAGTGTTCAAGGCCAGGCTGGATGAGGCTTTGAGCAACCTGGTCTAGTGGAAGGTGTCCCTGCTGATGGCAGG